GGACCTTGCGGCGCGGTTGGAGCTCGACGTCGACGAGGTACGCAGGGCTCTAGTCAGCAAGCCAGGGCTGCTTCCGGTGCTCGGTGAGGTGAGCTTCTCAGGCTCCACGCCGGAACCGGGCGAGATGGACGGGACGGACTCGAGCAATTTCGCTATAGCACGGAGGATTTACCCTTTCCGGTCCTGTACCGGGGCGCGGTGACGCAAGCCATGTCCTTGCCGAAGTCCCCGGGCCGGTGGTCCGGCGGGCGGGTGACTATGCGGAAGCTGCTGCCTAGCAGGTCGGACAGGCGGTTGGTAGCGGGGTTTCTCAACGAGTCGAGCAGGATCGCACGGGCAATGTGGAAATATTGCATTTAATTGAGGACATGTCCGGCGGCGAAGCCGCCGAGAAGGGTCACGGCCGAACCGGTGGTAATACCGGCGGACGCTGTTCCTTAGCGCTATCGTGAGTGGCAATGGGACTGCTCTGATCCGGACAATTGCGTCCCAATGGAGGAGCGGCACACATTCAAGTCAAGTTTTAACGTAGACCCCCCCTTTGGCGTTCCTAGCTAACTAGTGTCGCCCTACCGGGGGATCTCGGGGGGACGTTTCCTTCGTTCGAGCCCTCGTCCTTCCTGTAGCGCTCCTCGGGGTGAAGGGGACTTGCTTTGCAATCCACTTGAACCAAACCTCCTGGTCCGGCCGCTAGCGGCATTCACTGTACGACGACTCGGCTAAGGCTACGGGTGGCGCCGTGTCCACACGATCCGGGACATGTGGCTCAAGGGCACGAAGGGCGGAAGCTGCTCCGGACCCGCGAGCAGCAGGCGATGAAGCTCACGGGCGACGACGCCATGTCCTTCGACGGCTGCCCGCGGCTCGGCAAGGCGTTAGCTTAGCATACGGCAACATTGCTGCCGCAAATAAACAGCGTCCACTCCTGCCGAGGCGATCTGCATACCAGACAAATGTCAACCAGTTCAATATCCAAGACCACAGCAATTGAGATTCCAGATTGAATTCAGGGGGCGGTGGAGATATCCCCGCAAATCAAAGAGATCGTGAGTCGCATGTACAATGCGGTCTTTGAACTATCCTCACAAAAACGCATTCGTGAGACGCGACCATACGGAATATGAGAGTTGTGGTAAGACGGCCCGAGTACCAGGCCTCACGGCACCCAATCATATTCGAATATGCACTTGCGTAGTTCGTGACTACTAATTTTTTCCATCATACCATTCTTCACATTGATCGATTCCATCATGCCATTTGTGGTCTCTTGATTGTTTCCATCTCAGTAATTTCTAGCAACACAAACTGTCTAAACACTCCGTCTCGCACACACGCAGTAGTCTTCGCCGCGGGAACTGAGTCAATTGGCGATGAATCTACGCACTTTGCGGGTGCTGTGAAGCACTCGCAAGAAAATTATCATCATGAAAATAATAACTAAGAGAAACAGTACTCGCCAGGTCACAGGCAAAGTGGCAGAGGTATCAGCGACTGCAAAGCTTTCCTCAAAAAAGCTGACCACCGCAGACATTTCATTAACTTCGATGAATCCGGGTGGCGATTCGATGAGTTTGCCAGCGTCGTCGTTGAAAGTGCACAGAAACGCTTCCCATGTCTTCGGGCATTCCAGCGCGACGACTAGCTTAATTTCCGTCCAACAGTGTGCTGGCGAATCTCCACGACTGACCCCAGCAAATGAGTCCGTGCCATTCTGATAATCTGCTTTCAGCTTCTGCAGTTGGCACAGAACTGAGGCGGCCATGGTTTGCAGGCTTGCTTCGAAAGTAGCTTTGTGCAATCTTTATTCGCTAAGGACGCGTTCTAAAGTCAATCGTCTCTAGCTGAGTAGTGAAAGTCATGCGCTGCTGGGCCTGATGGTCCAGCATCAGGTTGTGGTATCCCCATCGTATGTCGAGTGTGGATCTGATCCTTTTAGTGGCTAGCCACGCTAAGGCATCGTCATTACGCGGCGATTGATAAGAATCATGCTTGATGACCTCATTCAACTTTCGCAAATCTAGCGCGCGGCCTGCGCCGCGCACTCGCGCATGATGCGCTCGAGCACGTCGCCCATGTGAGAGGGCGCGCCCCGTCGCGCATCCCATCGTCACTAAAGAAGGCGTGCCTACATCATTTCTTGCCTATCTACCGTTGGCTGAAGTCGGATGTAGGTCACGGTAGGATAGTGACGTGGACGCGCGCTTCGCCGGCATCGGGATCCCGGATCCTGAGATCCCCTTTCATCTGCGATCGTGGTGAGATTTTTGGTCTTCGAAGCATGGAATGGCACGTACGGTGTTGTGGTCTGTTCCGACCCGGCGGTCCACCCAGATCCTGCTCATATCTCTGGTATTGGGGCGTCGTCAATATCCCTGGTGGTAGCGTCGCAAGCATCATTGCTGCTCCAGCGAGAGCGCACAACCTTCATCAAGCACTCGTGGGACTTCTATCGGCCCGTCGGGTGGCCCACAAACGACGCGGTAATGGACGTGAACATCGCGACCGGTCAATATGAAGAGGCCATGCTGCGGTCTAGCCAATATTCTCATGCACTCACTCTTGCTTACACAGTGACCTTGGCACCTCGCACCGGGGCCCGCAACACGACCATACTATTGCGACCTAGCAATCGCGGCAGGTCTGCCTACTGGAGTGAGCAGCATTGTGAAACGAGCAATGATGCCAAGCAATGCTCAATTCGCCACCGACTGGCATGTTTTCCTCGGAACACATTTATTGACTTAACAGAATTAACCTTGTAATTTTGTCGAATCACGAAGCAGGGTGCCACCAGTAGCGGAGATATCGCACAACGGATATATGCCCTCCCTCTTGTTTGCTCGAATCGGCAGGCAAAACTGATACAAAAGAACGTCTGTCATTGGCGAATGTGTCCAAAGTAGCACCAAAAGTGCAGAGTTTCATTTCTTCCCACTCAAAGCAGAAAGAAAAGCCAACGAATCGACAACTCCGGGCATAGATTCAAACATAAATATGCGCAAAAAACGTTCTCTAGTTTTGCCTGATTGAACTCAACATCTGTAGCCTTGATATTGTTCTTCGTCAGATGCAGCCCAGCTCTCATCAACACGTGATCTGCTGCGCGCGTAGGCCACAAGAAACCGCTGATGGTATTTGGACTTTAGCGCGTGCGTTCTGCTATTGTGTATTGCCAACGACGCTTGTTCTTGTGCCCGACACTGCTTTGGACTTAGAACCGCTCGCGACAGCATCAGACCTGCTGATCGTGGCACGCAGAGACAACCAGCACTAGCATTTTGCCCGCGCGTCCGGGGCTGGCACACGCGCAAGCATCTCGTGGTCCAACTCCAAAGCGTCCTTCCACCTGAAGTCACATCTCCACTCTAGATCACCAGCCGAAGCAGTCGTGGCTAGCTGTCGTAGTACCACTGCACAAGGTCCGAGTGTAGAAGTAACACGCGACCAACGCACGGTGCGCCTTGTTTCTACTGCCTCAATGTCGGTCATCGAACTGAATGACGTAGTCCACTTCAAAGCTCAGAGCGATTCCCTAATTGCAGACCTGACCGTATGCATTAATTTGCTTAGGAGAATAGCCTGCTATGCAGAGAGCTGATCCATGCTATTTCAGGGCGCCGGAGCTTATTTTTGCACCGGCGGAAACCTCGCACAGATGGCGCATGGCAAGTTCTAGGTATAGAAAGAAACTTTTATCTCTTCGCTCTGGAGAAGTGCGCGCGTCACCACAGACATCCGTCGACTCTGTGTGTCTAAATTCGGAGCAGTTCATGGAAAGCTCTTGGGCGGGGGTGTCGCGTTCGCGCTTGCAACAGATTGGCGCGTCTGTACCACCTTTTCGAACTAATCCTTACGAAACTTGGCTAGGTATCCGAGCGGCCCTGGCATATCTTGGCCGAGCGCAGCCCTGAAATTGTACCGGGAATCACGTTTGTCATCGCTGCGCATGAACCCAGTGCCGGGCACGAGCCCGTATGGCAAGGTAGTTCGCAGTGCAGAGCTCAAGTGTTTGTTGCTCACAGGCGAGTTCGTCTACACGGGCAAGGCGAAGGGTAAGTCTTTCCTCTCCCGCATTGTCGACGTTCGGCAGCACGCTCAGCTGCCTCAAGACGAACGCGAGAAGTTTGCTCAGGATGGTCACACCGGTGAGTTTTTTGCGATGCAGATGAAGAACATCTCCAGGCTCTTGCACTGGAGTTGGGTCTTGAACCTGTTAAAGCGAAGTCTTGCAGACGTCCGAAGCTTCCGTCTTTGTGTCTGAAATACGATGCTGATGCGCGGATTCTATCACTAGCTACGCATTGGGTTGATTTGCCATTTGAACAACTGCAGTCGCTTGTGAAATCTTCTGCTGTTGGTTCTAGACGTACGCCTCCGGCCTCACCCTCGGGGAACAAACACCAGCCAAAGAAGGCGAAGCCATCTTCTGTGGATGTCCTCA